GGCTAGGAACTATACTCTCATTCCGGCGTAATAATCAAGGAACTTTGCTGCCGTACCATGGGTGCAGCAGGTGCAATGATATTATGCAGCGCCTGAAAATAGTCCCCAGCACGCTCCCTGTGCAAGCAGGTGGTCACGTTGGTTATGTTGACGGAAGTTAGCCTATTTTCAGGCACTGCGTAATATCATCAGTCAACATGAAATGACGCTCACATTTTAATTCTGCAACATTTCCAAATGTAAAAGGGTATTCAATGAGAAAAGAGGCAGGAAGTCCTTTAAAACAGCATGAATCACTTAAAAAAGCACAATAAACAAAACATGTATGAAGAAAGTAGACAATTTTAGTAAATTTTAATTCCAAGTTGACTGTTCCTATCTACACTCTTAAAAATAAAGGTTCTTTACGGGCATCTATGGTTCCATAAGGTACCTTCAATGTCCAAACAACCTTTTCATTCCACAAAAGGTTCTTTGCAGAGAAAAAAGGTTGTTTAGATTTTTTAAATGTTTTTCACACTAAGAAAAAAATTGATAAGAACTGTTCTCTGAAAGGTTCTTTGTGGAACCAAAAATGGCTTTTCTGTGGTATCGCTGTGAGTGTAAAGCGGCTTTCTCTCAAACTGTAGCCACAGTAGAAGGAGGTGACACCCTTTGCGTAGGTTTTGGTGGGAAAGCCACAGACATTTTCTAAAGAGCAACACCTCGGACAATGGAAACACAAACCTATCGAGAGACACCGACAATATCAAATGATGCCGTTTTTTTTTTTTCAAACTACAAACCTTTCAAACAAAACATCCCCTCTCACTTCCTCTGTTTTACACACAATTAAAAGCTCTTTCTCCGTCCCTCTCTCCTGTTACATAACACTCCTGTTTTGTTTCTCGGTTCAGCTGAGTGAGGATTTCAAAGGAAGCAGTCCTTCATCCCCTCTGTGACTGCAGCCAGGAAGTGAACCGATCAGCGAGGGGGCACGAGCCTAGCTGTACAAATAAAGCCAAATCCTACTCAGTTTTTTAAAAAATGTCGAGGCTCTGAGGAATGTAAATGTGGTGCAGCAGTTAAAGCTGCTTTGAGCAATATCAATGCTACTTGCAGCACAAAATCTACTAGATTTTTCTGCCACTTTTATTGTCCACCAGGTAATGACAAGCACCTCTACCGAAAGGTTTTCCAAACATTTTCCCTATTTGCAACTTTTGAGTTTTCGCAATATTTTGCAACCCCAACTTCCAAACTACCAAACTTCCTATATGAAATAAGCAACAGTTAGCATTTGTCCACACCCATTTGCTTTTTACATTGCACAAATGTTATATTTTGTTTCTTAAAAGACATTGCTGGTCATGTGCAAAGTGGGTTATAATATTCTTATAAACTTAAAAAATTATTAAATATAGAAAAAATTATTTAATTATATTATTTTAATATAAATAATTAAATTGTTTTATTTTAATTAACTGTTGCTATTAAATGGCACAATGGCAATTATACATACACTAATTGTCTAAAATTTTAAATATTTTTGTCTAACATTTAAAACTTTAATTCTTACCATTTTAAGAAGTACAGAATTATAGCAAAATAATTGTTTCATGACACAAACAGATTGGTGCATTAGGCTTTTGCAGTGTAAACGCAGACAAATGACAATTCTATAATTGCATATTTTAAACACTTAAATAGGTCATTACAATACAGAAAAGGTTGTTTGATAAAAAAAGAAAACATTATAGAGCAGTTACTTCCCTTACAAAAATTAATCTGCATTTCACAATCATACAGGTCAAATTCAACTGTCTCTCTGCAGATATCAAGTACCAAGTACAAAACTATAGAAATAAGGCTTATTGATCTTTTAGGAGAAGCAAAATGAATGTTATTTTTCTCTTTTCTCTCAGTGGATTCATGCTAATGGAGATCACCATTAAACACGCTGACTGTGTAGCAGGTCCAAAATGGAAACACATTAAGGCCATGTCCACACGTACACGGGTATTTTTATAAAAAGAGTTTTTCCTTCTTCTGTTTTTAAAAAAATCTCCTTCCACATGAAAACGCAAACGCATGCTATGAAGCACTGTCAAGAGCATGCCTAACCAACAGGTGGCGATATAATCTCAACCGTAAAGGCATGTTGGCCAAGCAGAAGCCAATTTTTGTTGGCCAATTTTTATTTTTAAAAATAACCGCATTCGTGTGGACAGGGCCTAAGGCCCTGTCCACACGAACGCCGTTATTTTTTAAACCCGCAGCTTTTTCTACGCGGTTTGGCCGTTCGTCCACACGTAAATGCAGCACCAGGTCACTGAAACCGAACATTTTTGAAAACGCCTGCCAGGGTAAAAATTTTCAAAAACTCCGGTTGCAGTGTTATCGTGTAGACAACGAAACCGTAGTTTTTGGCTTGTGACGTCGGAGCCTGCGCTGTTATCTCCACCTACTGGAGACTTTTTCAGGCTTCTGATTGGCCAACATGGCTTTACGGGTGAGATTATATCGCCACCTGTTGGTTAGGCATGCTCTTGACAGTGCTTCATAGCATGCGTTTGCGTTTTCATGTGGACGGAGATTTTTTTAAAAACGGAAGAAGGAAAAACTCTGTTTATAAAAATACCCGTGTACGTGTGGACATGGCCTAAGACGTGATGCATTAGACAACTGAAGTGGCAACACCCAAGGTTTAACCAAGAGAGAAGATAAAAGTGTACATTGCTGTTCCAAAGCAAAACGAAGAGTTCAACCCAAGTTGGTTTTTAATGGGTCAGTGCTGATTATGTTATGACAAGGCTGAATCTCTGGAGAGTCAATGAGCTTCATATCAAGCAGGTCAAACTGTGTTTCCTTCCCATGCTAAACAGATGCAAATCCAACTGCATCAAATTATAGTATCTGTGCATCGAATTAAACTCATATGCAACCCGCAAAACAAGCATCATGGCCTAATTATTTTATGTTTCAACCGAGCAACACGCCACAATGTTTCTAATTGCATCTTTGCACAAAAGCAGAAAAGATGGTTTTGTTGCTCGCACAACCAGGAAATGTCCTGAACGCTGAAAGCATGTGAAAAGGGGATTTTCCCGATCACAAAAAACATCTTATCCAAATATAGGGATGCATTAATGCCAAGAGACTCCTGGCTTATTATAGGATGTCCATCAAAATAAACCCCAAAGCCTATTTGGGGAAGAGATAGATGAGATTGGGCTCTAATGACCCATGATTCATTTCAGGTAGCAGGGAATTTTCTAGAAATGTCTGATGTTGAATAGATCTGTTGTAGCTCTCAAAAGTATCTAATGAGTACGTGACTCACTCTCATCTCTGAACGTCTCAGCCCTGTTCAACAACCCCTAAAAGACAGAAAAATAAATCCAAACTTGTTTCTCCAAGACAGTAATGAGATTTAATGGAGACTTTTGCTGAAGTCTCCTGCTTCTAAGATGCTTAACCTGTGAAAAGAGACGCCAGTAATCTCACATGTGTCTCCTCTAGAGTTTCAGAAGAGATCTTAACAATGTCTCAAACTGTGCTCAGATCTGCCAAAATCCCAAGGTCTGCAATCAAATGTTAGAGATCTCAATAAGATTAGCATTCCTCATCAAAGCTTCTATCTACATTAT